TCTTTCCCTGACTAGGTGGGCTTCAAAAATGTCTCAACTCCCCAAAGTCCAAATGTAAGAAGACAAGGCCAACAGAGAGTCAAAAATCACTGTTCGCTTCTAAGGCTTACTTCCAAGTTCAGCCTCCTGTCTGAGGACCTGCCTCTCCCCCAAGTAAATGTCACTGGGATGGCCCATGGCCCCTCCCAGGAAGTCCAGAGGGTACTGCCCTGTGGCCTTCACTGCAAAAACACCCCAGACTACAGTAAGCCTGACTCACAAAAAGAGCAGTATATACAATTAAATGAGTTAATAGTTTCAAAGTGCTTAGATTAGTGATTATATAAATGCCATATAAGTGTTTCTTAAATAAAAGCACACACATTTGGGGACACACACACACACACACACACACACACACAGATCCTTTTAAAAAAAAGAAATCACCAACCCTGCTGACTTCCACTATTCATGTTTGTTTTCTTGGGATCAGACAGTGTGAATGTGCAGGGCTGTTAGGTAATTTCCCAGAGCTCTGTTCAGAGCATCACTAAATAGAGCTTTAACGCCCAGTAAGATAATCCTGCCCTTTGTGGCCCAGGCATTCTAACAAATGGGTGAATAAATAACTATATCACCCATGAAACTAAATATATTAGAACCCTGCAGTCTGGGAGAAATACCAGCTGCTTTGTCTCTACTGGGCAGGAATGAAGACATGGCCTGGCAGGGCACCTCTGATCTGGGTAATACATCATCAAATGGAGGCACAGGCCAGGTGCTGACAGCCAGGGTTTGCAAGGCCTTTTGGGACGTGAGTTGGGGGTGGTGATGCCTCCTATCATGCTGGCCCTCCTGGGGCTGGTGAGGGGGAACACCTAGGCACAAGAATAGAGAGAAAATAATATGGAGCCTGAGGGGGGTCATCAGGCTGGACAGTATCTGTGACCTCAGCATAGTAATGAGGCTCTAGAAAGGAGGCTTTCTTTCATGTTTAAGAAGACGTATTCACTCCAGATGCCTCTAATGTAGTAGACAGTCCTCAGATCCCAAATGTGGGAGATGAGTACAGGGACCCTGTTTGCGTGTGCGTGCGTGTGCGTGTGTGTTTTTAATAATTTTTTTTTAAACATTAAAAAAAAAAAAAAAGAAGACGTATTCATGAGCAGGCTACTTCAAATGACCAGGGCAGACATACCTTGCTTTCGCTCTCATTGGACAGAATTTCCAGGGCTTCCAGGTGTGACAAACCCTGATACTCATCAAACAGCATCCCGTAGTGTGCGGTCCTCTCGGCCGTGAGCTGCTGTGCCAGCCTCTGCTTCTCCTTCTCCTTGGCTTCCCGCAACATCTGCACAAATACACAGTGTTTGTACTCTAGGTGTATGCTTAAAAGCCGCATTTTCTGCGGAAGATGTTGGGGGAGATGAGCACTGACTTGGTACTTGTGAAGAGTAGGTTTTAGTCACTGTGGAATTTCTAAAAAAATGACTTTTTGCATTGATCTTACTCACAGTTTTTTACATAATATTCCACTTTGAACTTTTCATGTTCATATGTACACAGCAAAACAAAGCAAAAATTCTACACCCAGGAAGAGGATTGAAAAGAAGCAAAACAAAAGCTGAACAGTGGTTTCTACTGAAGTGTTTTCCATGTGTGTGATTAATCTTATTTTTAAAATGCCCAGATTTCCTATAATGAGCAAATTTTATTTACACTGGGAAAGTTGAATCTATTGTGACAGGATTAATTGCAACTTGTGCACCTAGGCAGACTTCAAAGCAAAAATAAGCTGGTGTGATTTTATTTGAGTTATTTAAAAATTTTGTGTGTGTGATTATTAAACATCTTTGATGAAAATAATTAATAAAATATAAACTCATAGTGTATTCCTCACCAGATACTTAATATTAATATAAATAAGAATGTTAGCTTATCAGTTCTTTGATAGATTGGTTTCTAGAAATACTGTGAACCGAGTTCCTCTCCAGGTTGATCATTTTTCTCCAGTTATTTTTCTGCTGATTAAATAACAAGACAGTAAAATAAACGCAAGTCCACCAGTTACTCTTAATTTCCTGCCTTTGCTTTCTTCGATTCTAAGCATCTTTTATTTGATTCCTCATCAAGGTGACTGTGGCATTTAGTTTATAGGGTTCTTTAATATCTGTGAAGAGCACCATAAATGCACTGGCCACCACAAGGTCACAAGGGGAAGGTCATGAAAGAATAGATTTTGGTTTTTATTATGTGTCAATAAACAATCAGCTTCACTCTCCTTTTTGGTTCTTGAGGTTGTTAACCCCAAACCCACCAGGCTACAGACAGAATTCTCCCTCCTGCCTGTCTTTAAGACTAAATAAGTATAAGATCTGAAAGTTTTCAAAACAGCCCCATCAAATCATCCCTGGGAATTGTTAACATTTACAATGAAACCCAGCTACTCCCACGGATCTCACCGGCTTGGTGGTGGTGAAGTAAAGTAACAAAGTGACACTGAAATTGCTTTCTTTCCTACACCAACTTCCATCTCTAAATTCTGATTCAGGTTAGAAGGAAAAAGGGATGCAATAAAAGGTAAAGGGAAATTGTCACTTTGGAACCATGTGGATTCACCCAAGAAATGGGGAGTGAAATTAAAGTGGCCTAAGGAAGAACTAACTGGCTTTCTGGGTGCTGCTGCTACATTCCTTCTGGAGAAGAAAAGGAGATTGGTTTAAATGGCAGTGAGTGATTCTGGCGTGGAAGACTTTGGGACAGAAGGGCAGCTTTGGAAACTTACACCAGTGGGATCTGAGAATCACCCTGTCCCCATGTTATTCAAAGAGTAAGATATAAGGCATGAGAAACTTAGGGAGGGCATGCATGAACATTTCTGATGTCTAGAGTTATTTAGTGTGGATTAGGAAAAACATAACAGATGTCCCTCTCTCAGTTGATGGCAGCTTCATCCTTGAAGCTGCTCAGGCAAAAACCCTGGAATCATCCGTGCCTCTTTCTTTTATCTCATACTCCATATTCAGTCCACCAAGAACTCTGGATCGACCTTCAAACTACACCCAGAACCAGCCTTTATCACCACCTTCATGGCTTCACACTGCTCTGAGCCACCATTATCCTTTGTTTAGATACCTGCAAAGGCCTCCTGAGGAGGCTGTGAGAGGGGAGCATAAATGACCAAGAGCCCCGAGGGTGCGCTTTGAAACCCACTCTTCATTTGCACTGAGGTCATGCCTCTTACCACCTCCCCCTGCCAATCACTGGTGCAGCAGGGATGTTAGGGCAGACCTTCTCCTGGGAGACAGAACTCCTCCGTCAGTGGACTTTGGCTAAAGGACTCTCCCATGGCTTTGCCAAACCTTCCTTAGACTGCACAGCAGTCTAGGATGATTGCACCCAGTCTCCTTTCTTGTCCTCCTCCACTGGGATCAGACTTGCATTGTGGTCTGATGGCTCTCCCCCAACTCCCACAGTTTTCTCTCACATTGTCATTTCTACCACGAAAATCCTTGCACGTTTATACTTACCTTGGCATCTGCTTCTGGGAGGATGTAGGCTGATACACACTCTAACTGGTCTCCCTGCCCTTCACCCTCCCCCCAACCTAGTCTGTTTTCAACACCATAACTAGAGTGATACTTTTAAAATCAGATCTTGTCACTCCAAAACATTGCAATGGTCTCCCCTTTTCACTAATAGTGAAGTCAAAGGTTCTTACAAACGCCCTTCATAATCTTCCATCACCTGCTCCTCATGACCACACTGGCCTCATCTTCAGCAACTCTCATCCTGGCTCACTCCTCTCCCACCACACAGCATCCTTGCTCTTCCTTGTTCATACAAGACACTCCTGCCTCAGGGCCTTTGCACAAGCTGCTCTTTCTGCTTGAAATGTGCCTCACCCAGATTCTGCATAGTCAAGCCCTTCATTTCCTTCAAGTATTTGCTCAAAAGTCATTCATCTATCTTCATGAAGTTCTCCCCCACAATCTGACTTAATACTTAACCTGCCCCTCACTCCCATATTCCTGATTACCCTCTTTCTGCTCTACTTTTTCTATTTTTTTGACAGCACTCATCATCTTCTAAAATATGAGATACTGTTTATTGTTTGTTTGTCCCTCCTCACTAGAACAAATCTCCATAATGCAGGGATATTTACTCGTTTTGACCACTGATGTATCTCAAGTGCTTAGAACAGTGCCTAGCACATAGTGGACATTCAAAATGCATTGTGGAGTGAATGACTGAACTAAAAATTACTGTTTGGAAGGAAGCTGAAGTGGGTAATGGCCCCCCACATATTTTTCTCCCCTTTCTATGAGGCTGGAAGTAAAGGACGTTAAGATGGTAGAGCCACAAGACGTGGGCTGCCCACGAGCGCTAACACTACAGGAATGAAAGATAAAACTTCTTCATTTTAAGCCACATTGATACTTGGGTTATTATTATTATTTTTGGTTTTGTTTTGTATTTGTACAACATCTAGTGTTAATGTCCTGATTAATACAAAATCTATTTTCTTCTTTAAGGATCAGGAGGGTGATGGTCTAGCTGATCCTACCAAGTCCCTACCTGGGCTGTAATATCACAGTGGTTATATGTGGGTTATTCTGGAAGAGCCAAGAAGAAATAACCTAAAAATCAAACTTTTCAGGAGCTGCCACTAACCTGTTGCCAGTGATAGCTCCTTCGTGGCTTCCCAGCACTGAGCCATGGGAAGATGTGTTTGTCCTGCCTGTGAAATTTGTAAGATCCTGCATCTGCTGCTCCTGATTTTGATAAGACATAGAGAGACCTGGTGTATCAGACTCTTAAGGGGGAAGGGGAAAAGGGGCATGATTGACACTATGGGGTCTGAGCTGGTCATGTGTCAACTGAAAGAGCAAGTTCAGTATTAGAGTTTTGTATTTGGAAAATAAGATAAACATTATTTTTAATTTTACTGACTACTGTAAGTAAGCAAAACATAGATTAAATTCTTCATACCATATTTCTCACTTTAGAGCTGGAAGTATGAGAGGAGAAGTCTAACCTTGCACATAGTAAGAGAAATATAAATTAAAATTCCAATGAGATACCATTTCTACCTATCATCTTGACACATAAAAAAGACAATGACAACAACTAACATTCTTGGGTGCGAACTATGAGTCAGGTTCTATTCTAACTCATTTCATCCTCACAGCAAAGCTATCAGTAGGTATTGATGTTCCCAGTGTACAGATGAGTAATCTGAGGCACAGAAGGATTAAGTCGTCTGCTCAAGGTCATGTAGCTAGAACGTGGTAGAGCTGGAATATAATCGTAATATAGACTGAATGTTTGTGTTTCCCCAAAATTCTTATGTTGACACATAATCCCCAGTGTGATGATATTTGGAGGTGGGGCCTTTGGGAGGTGATTAGGTCATGAGGGTGGAACCCTTACGAACAGGATTCATGTCCTTATAAAAGAGACCCAGAGAGCTCCTTTGCCTTCCTCTACCATACGAAGAAACTGTGTGAAAACGTCTGTCTATGAATCAGAAAGCAGGCCCTTACCAGACACTAAATCTGCTGCTATTCTGATCTTGAACTTCCCAGACTCCAGAACTTTGAGAAATAACTGTTTGTTGTTTATAAGCCCCCCAGTCTGCAGTATTCTGTTATAGCAGCCCGAATGGACTAAGACAAATGGCATCAATGGAATCATCCTCAAGAAATTATTAAGTATAATTTGTACTTAATAAAGCAAGGTACAAAGGAGCATAGTTAGTATGCTAACATTTGGGTGAAAAAGTTTGCATGTATATATGTTCACATGTATATATATGTATATGTTTAGCTACATCTATCTATATAGTCATATCTATATCCATATCTATATCTATATCTAAATCTGTCTGTATAATGTCTCTGATAGAATCCGTAAGAAGTCGTTAACAATGGTTGTCTCCCATGATGTGTGGCTGGGGAAAGGGGTGTATTAGAAACTCAATTTTCACTCCCTGATATTTTGTGTCATTTGAATTTGACATGTGCTTTAAAATATCTATTTAAAAAGGTAAATAAAAATTTATTCACTTTATTGACCGAAAGAACAAATCACAAAAGTACATAATCCCACCTGAGATAAGGAAACGGTTCTCTCCATGAGTGTCTTGGTCCGCTTAAAACCTGGGTCACTTTCTGCAAGGACATTCATAGTTTTCTTGCCAATGAACTCCAGAGCATCAAGACCACCTGTTAAGACGCTTTTACCCTGCCAATGAGATAATTGCACAAGATTAGGTTTTCATGTTTTGCTGTTCCAAGGCAGTCAGCACCTCCTAGACTGCATTATCTTCAAATATGAAAAGCAATATATATAAAGTCACAGTTTTTTCTCATCAGGAAATTTATCAACCATTTAATCCTATTTTCTTTTCCGTGGAAGCGCGTATGTCATATAATTTGTAGGACATGCAATGTTATTAAATAAGGATGCTTAAGAAAACCAAAGCACATTAGGGATTAATTTTATTGGCTATGTGTATGAATAGATATGTTCCGAAGACAAAAAATTAATAGGTGACCCAATTGCTGTTTTTGTTTGAAAAAAATTTAACCCAAGTAACAGAATCATTTGGAGCAGTCTATAAAAATGTCAAATACTCTTGCCAGTTTAGGGAATTCTTTAATATAGGGCCCTAGAGTGTAGGACCCTCAGGCTGTTTCAGTGGCTCTTGCATACTTTCAGAAAGTAGCAATAACCGCCTATAATTAGTATTTTCATGAAATAAGACAGGTTGATTCCACGTGCTTCTGGCTTTAGAAATTGTTCTATTATGTAGTTAACCACTGCAAATTCCTTTGCCAGTCACTGTTTCTCTTTTTTAAAAAAAGAGTGAAACAACCAAGGTTTACTCACATAAACTGTACATACAAACAGAACTGCTTACATTTCTTTGCAACATCTTCTTTGCCTATACCCCAACTATACAACTACAATTACAATATGCATATATCTGTGTTTTTTCTCACCTTACATGAGTTTGCATAGGTTATATTTATTATTACATTATTCTTTATATGCATTATCCATTTTCATAATTATCACTTCAACAGCAATATTTGATTTCACTGATTAATATGCTTTATTAGTCATCTCCATCTTGAACATTTAGACTGTTTTCCGATTTGGGAGCCAATCAATAATCACACTACAAAACAGAATTTTTTTTTCTTTTGGCGGTACGCGGGCCTCTCACTGTTGTGGCCTCTCTCGTTGTGGAGCACAGGCTCCGGACGCGCAGGCTTAGCGGCCATGGCTCACGGGCCCAGCCGCTCCGCGGCATGTGGGATCTTCCTGGACTGGGGCACGAACCCGTGTCCCCTGCATCGGCAGGAGGACTCTCAACCACTGCGCCACCAGGGAAGCCCCAAAACAGATTTTTAAATGCATATATTTTGGGAGGACTAGGGGATATCAGCAATTCACACCTTTGCATAATTTGATTTACTTTCTCCTAACATCCTGTGAGGGATTACTTCAGTAGAGAATAAGATGGGAGAAGGAAGGATGAAGGGACTTTGAGTAAGGGCAGACTTGGTAGGGGGGTGTCTGGAGCTTGGGAAAAGGGAGAACCAGAAGGCTGGAGAGCACACAGCGAGGAATGTGAGGATGCTGAGGACAAACTCAGAGGGCCCTGCCTCATAGCTCAGGGAGACCATGGATTTACTTCCTTTTTTTTTTTCTTTTCTTTTTTTTTTTTGGCCGTGCCTTTGTAGCATGCGGCATGTGGGATCTTAGTTCCCTGACCAGGGATCGAACTCGCTTCCCTTGCGTTGGGAGCATGCAGTCTTAGCCTCTAGACCACCAGGGAAGTCCCCATGAATTCATTTCTTATGCCAGAGGTAATGAAAGCGCTCTGTCCCATCCCCAGCCCTACAACCCTCCCCATACACCTGCCGTGGGCATACTGGACTTGTACTGCTATCCGACTCCTAAAACATACTTGCTGACCCCCCTGCTCCCTGCTTAGTCTAGAGGACCTCGAGTAGCAAGGAAAGGAACAGTCATTTCCTATTTCTGGCATACCCTGACCTGAAGTCTGGCTAAGACACCTCCATATGTGTGTCCACAGCCCCCTCTTCTTCCCATACAGCACTGCATTTGACAACTGTTAAGTTGCCTCCACCTTCCAGGATGTCATGCCCTCTTTCAGCTTATGCCCAGCATCTAGCATAGCTCTTGGGATATAATGAAAGCTAATTACCTTTTTTTTTTTAAATGAATGAATGCATAAATTGGACGTGAGCCATATTTCTTAAAAAACTAGTTATTTGGTTTCACATAGCAGGAAGTAAACCTTTTCCTTCTGATCCTGAAGATGAGCTAAATGCCTTATCTCAGTTGGGGTGCATCCCCCTTTTTTCATTATTCATTAGTGTTTTGTTGTCAATAACAAGCTTCTTAAGCTTCTTTAAAAGGAAGGGGCCTGGGAAGGAGGGATGTGTATTAGGGCTATTCAAGGAAAGAGGAGAGTGGGAACTGGGAGGTGGGGATGGAGGAAGAATGTTGGTCTTAGTTATCTGGAAACACTTTAGTAACATGTTGGGGAATGTTTCTGATTCTTTACTGGTATGTATATATATGTATATGTATATGTATATATATATATATATATATATATATATATGTATATATATGTATATATATATATATATATATATATATATATATATATATATATATATATATACACCTGAATCACTTTATAATTTTTCAAATTGAAGGTTAAGAAACATAGAGCTTCTCAGAAAAACAGCTCTAAGAAAGAGCCCTCTCTCCCCGCAAGCAGAGGCTGTCCTTGCAGCCATTGGAAAGGACACTGTTATATCAGACTGAAAAATGTTCCTTCTAAGCAGCTCCCTTCTTTTAAACATAAAATATATTTCATTTTGTTCTTATCATTTTGGTTCCAAGGTTACGCCTGCTCTGTGGGAGGAAGCATAACAAAATCATAATCCAAAGTTATGAGCAAGACCATCTTTTCTCTGATGTATCTAGGTCACTGGTAAATAGAAATATCAAAAAAAGGCACTGGCAGACCTCAGGGAAAACAGAGGAAGCAGCTAAGGACTCACTGTGTTCTGAACCGCATTGGTGATGGCTGACAGCATGCCCCTAGACCCCGATGAAGGAGAAGTGGGTGGGCTTTCTGCAGGCCTCTGATCTGTGGCTGCAACTGCTACTAAAGAGAAAAACACCCTTTTAGAGTTCGTTTTGCTGATATGAACTTGGAAATCTATTTGTGCACATGGTGTAATGCAGCCCAAGTCCAAGAAATCCCCAAACAAATGTACCACTCACTTTGAGGGATTTCATTTGCAGTGTCAGGTTGGGCCCCTTCGGAAGAGGCAGAATTCA